GGTAGATTCTCCAAATGCGAATCGGCGTCGCAAAAGTCGAAACACTGATGAAGAGCGAGAGGACGTTATAGTGAATCATAGTAGGGGAGGATAAGAGCCATTATTAAGGGAGTGTCACGAAGCTCGCCTCACTTCCACTACTCGGAACGGTAGTGGTGACTCCAATATAATTCTTATATGTATGGCGAGTGAAGCTTTTCATTCCTGCTCCTTCCATGTTAGCAGTTAGCTTATTCGACAGCTAGAATCCAGGTTTTCGAGGAACAGTCGATGTTAGGGAGTAGCATCGTGATCATTGAAATTGTAGTTATTTTTTTGTAACACTAGTAGGTGCTATTTGACGCTGGCCTTGGCTTATTTGATGGGCGCCCATATTTTCTCTTTGGGTGTGGAAGCTTTTTATTGAAGCAGGTTACGGTCACTTAGAGAAAAAAAAGATAAAATGATGGGTATTGGGGAATTGATGTGGTGCCCTAGTAGAGACCATTGTGTACTGCGTACTAGTGTGCGCCGACCAGACCGACTTGTGTGATTTATATCGCATGTGTGGATTTAATATTGGTTCAAGGAATATCGTCAATAGCTCTTTTCAAGAACAACTACATCAGGCTTGTCGTTCACTTCATAGTTGTTTTACTTCTTCAGGTAAAGACTGCGTAGAGCAACGCGTGAGTTTTCTAGGAGTTATGCACAGTGTTCATTGAATATTCCCGAAATAAAATTGTGAGATATGTGTGGGGATGATCTTGTCAAGCTTTTCAGGATTATGACGCTATGGATAACGAGACCTTCGAAGTGGTCAAGAATGCCAGACCTGCTGCAGCACACATGAGGAAAACGCAACTAAAGTATGGGTTACATGAAGCTTGCCGTTTTGATGCAGTGGACAGCAATAATATATTTATGGGAAGTTATCAAATAGAACACAAGATCATACCATAGAGTGGCTGTTTACGTTGATAAATGAGCGAATTTCATCTCGGAAACGCATAGTGCGTCTTGCGTGGATGGTTGGTGTCGAGGTATTAAAGGCAAACTCCGGGATTGAACTGGTGCTATCAGCGCTTCGTAGTGATAGCTTAGCTGCGGAACGACCTGAAAGTGGGAAGGAAAGCAAGAGAATCTTTGGGAACGCTGAAATTAAGGCCTTAACCTTCAAAGGTCGGATGTGGTACGATGGCGAGACAGGGCGGTCAAAGAAGACAAAATACGCGAGAGAGCACGTCGTTTGAGAGAGCACGCTGATCTCTACATCAATGCACGCTGATCTCACCACCT